CCCGCCGCACCGCCCCCCTCCAGGCGCCGCCCCAAGCACATGGTTGGTGGGCTGGTGCCTGGAGCCGGCCCTGCTTTGAATACAAAAATGACGCATACAAATAGGATGAATAGCTTCAGTAGATCATAACCTTTACATACCCTGTTTCCCCGAAAATAAGACAGTGTCTTATATTAATTTTTGCTCCCAAAGATGCGCTAGGTATTATTTTCAAGGGATGTCTTATTTTTCAGAAATGAAAAATGCCTTATTATCGGTGGATGCCTTATTATCGGGGAGGTCTTATTATCGGGGGGATGCCTTATATTACAACGAGAGGCAAAACTGTAAGTAGGCCTTATTTTCGGAGGATGTCTTATTTTCGGGGAAACAGGGTAGATATGTTACATGGCATATGTAGCATAAAACATTCCAGTTATGTCATATTTACATTCATAAGCATATTTCCATAAAGCATTATGGGGTGCAACGTCACAGGTGCTAGCCCGACTGTGCTATAGACATTCCCTCTCTGGAGTCCGTGCCCGCAGGAGTCAGGGCAGGACTGTCTGACCCCTGCTCCCATCAACAGGAGCAGCTCTGATTCTGGTCACAGCATCTGAAATGGTGGCAGAGATGCTACAGCTGTGGATGGTCTCTGTAGATTTAACCAACTGTTGATACTAGTTAGTATTTGTACTGTGGTGCACCAGGGACCCCAGTCATGGACCAGAATCCCGTTGTGCTGGGCGCGGTGCAGACACTGAACAAGATGGCCCCGGCCCCAAAAAGCTGACAATCTAAGTATGAGGCTATGTCGTCACTGCCAGCGAGGTATTGCCCCCTAGCTAGCGTGCTATACAATCCTAGTGGAGACGAGGCATGGGTGAGCTTTTACCACGACAAAGCTAGGAGAGGACAATGCTGCGTCTGGCCTAACTGAAGCGTGCTTAAAAGCTACAGAGCCTTGGCTCCAATAGGAGCTTATCACAAGAGAACTAATGTGTGTCGAGTGACACCCCTTGTTTTGTCAGTGAGGAGAAGGCCTAAGAATTAACAGGGACAGACGGGAGCACAAGGAAACAGTGAAACGATATTGGTCGGCCTGACAGGCCGTTGTCTTGATTTTTGTAGGTCCCTGTGTTACCAAATTGTTTCTGCCTTGAATCTTACAGGCATGCCGTGTGATTTGGTAACACCATTAAAACGGGTTGGGATCAGCGCCACAGGCAAGGTCAAAGCGTGTCTCAGAGCTGTGGGGGCCTTGGAGTGTTCTAACGGAGTCCCCCCGCCATGTGATAAGGTTTTGCTATGTAGACAGGACCGCAGAGAAGAACAAGCCGCACTTAAAGGGAATCCTTTCTTCCTCTGGACAAATGGTGACCTCCCAGCCTTCTTTCCCCAGTCACAACAAGCAACTGCTTTTTTCAGAAAAAGAGAGAAGTCCAATGGTTTGCGTCGCATGGATTTATTTAAAAAGAAAAGCATGTTCCCTGCTGAAATGATCCCGGGGAAAGCAGTTTCCTCTTGAAACATAATTTAAAAAACACCCTACCACCATCCGAGCTGCATCTGTGCGCCTCCTGCATCTCCTTTGCACACGTGATTCT